AACGTAAAATAACTTTGATTTAATATCACTTTAATGTAAAAATCAACTAACAAATGAACTGTATGCCTGTAACATTTAAGTAACCTAATACGGTAGCGTCACAGGACAAGGACTTCACAATTTAGTCGTGATACAAAAACTCGTAAAATTTACTGTAAAAAATATTTTTTATTCTGTTAAAATAATAAAATATTAAGGAGAGGGGGGGGGGGATAACACTCCACCGGAAATGCAAAATTGTTAGACGGGGTGGGGGTGACACTCACTAAACGCACCGGGTGATACCGAATCTTGTGACGCAACTAACCAAATAAAAAATTTAAAAAGTCGCTATGATTTATTTAGATTTGTTTTTTTCTATTAAGAAGAAATTATTTATATTTATATGTTCATTGTAGTCCATTTTAGCTGCCTTTGTATGTTCGATACTTAGGATGGCCAAGTTACTGACCCAAAGGGCTTATCTACAACTTGTTTTATAACATCATAATAATGGAGGGTCTCGGGGCGCCTAATTGGCCTGATCATATACTGCTGCCGAGGCGACTGGAGGACACCCCTTATTTTCTTTAGCCATTGATTATAGTAGCCCTCCGTATGGCGCTCATTAAAACAAGTGTATGCGCCGTAGTGCTCATGGACGGCTCCCGGGGCGCCGGTTGATGCACCTGTGCAGTTTGAATTTTGAATTAAGCAGTAACCCTGACCCCTTGTGCAGGACACCTAATTAAATGACCCCAGGTGCTAAGAAAGCCGCTGGAAAACTCTGGGTGGCCAACCGAACCGCCTTACTGCCAAGGAGACGCTCTACCAACGAAATAAAAAAATATTTAATAACAGAAAACTTTACAGAAGTCAGAGTTTCTTTCTGGCGTTTCTTCGAGGCACTGCTTCTCGTGTGTGGGGTTGTGGTAGGAAATTTCACGGTCAGTAGAGGTTTGTTTGAATTATTCTAAACGACTTCCCAATGTATCTTGGCGATTGGATCATTTTTGTATTAATGCATAAAGGACAAGGAGACAGACAAACAACAACCTTTAACTTTAAGTAGCGGCATATTGATTAGAGATAAATAAGAATTAAAAAAAACAAATTGTGATTAAGGCTTAAACTAGCACAAAAACATGGACACATTTTCAACGTAGCTTATTGTAAAAACACTGTCCACGGCTGTTAACAAAAAAAATGGCTCAATTGTAATCGTGGATGAATGGAATTTCTGCTAGGACAGACAGTTGAGAGGGGAGGGGGGTTGCAGGTTTGTGGCGGTGGGTAAAGAGTTTTTAGCGATGCGTGTACATTAGCGGGTGCCGGATGCCAATCTCACAAATAGTTAATGTTCAAGTTTATTAATAGGCTAATTGTATCAACGACTTGCCCGACAATGCAACAATCCCTATACTTATAGTGTTATTAATACCGATGGGCCCTGTACAACCCCCCCCCCCCCCCCCACCCCCAGTAAGAAAGTCTAGGGGCCTTTTTTGGAACTTTGATTAATTCTACAGTAGAAAAGAAACTGAATTTCCGTTTTCTTTTTAAAACCATTTTTATAATACAAATATTAAAATTCAAAAGTATAATTTTTTTTACTTTCTCGTATATACGAAGTATAGAGAAAGTCTTGTAATCGTGCAAAAAAAAAAGAGATTTTTACAAATCTCGACGTTTTACACCTCACTGATACGGAAAAACGTAATTTTGCAATCTTGTCCGTATGTCTGTGTGTCTGTCTGTCTGTCTGTCTGTCCGTGTGTAAACACGATAACTTGAGTACCGTTACAGCTAGGTTGATGAAATTTCATATATAAGTATTTTATCAAAATCGTAGATCCGTATCAACTTTTGAGCGATTTCCAATAACCGGAAATGGTACTTTTCCTACTTTGAATTTTTCAAAAGCCTATAACTTGAGTACTATTTCAGATAGATAAATGAAATTTTACATGTAAGTAAAATATCTAATTCTCTACCTTCTGTTAAATTTTGAGTAATTTCCGTTGACCGGAAGTAGTAATTTACGCTACTTCCGATTTCTAAAAAAAAACTAATGTAAATTTTTAAAGTACTAATAATATTGCGCACTATTATGCACTTTTTTATTTAGCGTTCACTTGGTGTGCAATTCTTTTGTCTACGAGATTTTATTCTATTTTTAAAACTTTAAGTATTTAAAATGGATTAAAAATCATGTCTATAGCCCGAGTTCCCATCCCCTGTTATTTTATATAACAATATTCGAGAAAGTTTAGGGGAGATCACTCCCGGTTTATTTAAATTTAAGATGGAAAAGGGCCCCTATTTGCCTTGGGCCCCTATGCCTTGCTTACGCTAGCTTTGCGGTAGCTACGCCACTGGTGCCGGGTTTAACATAGTATTTGTAAGATGTGTCTGCTACAGTTTAATCATCGCTCTATTTTTTATATAATCTGTTGAGTTGATAATAATAAGTTGTGTTTGCTAAACTCCAACTCACCATCTCCCTTTTCCCGTTCGTGCTTTTGACACATGGGGCACATGAAGTAGAGTCAACCTTTTTCGTCATCATCATCTTTTCCTTTTTGTTTCCAAGACACATGGGGCTGCATTAAAAAGCTAACCTGTTTCAAAGACCTCGAAATACAGGAGTAAGTGTAGTCAGCGCTTTGCCCAGCTGCCTTGAATTCCCTGACGAGAGTCAGGTACCCATCAAAGCTTGATGGATTCAGGGACTTGAGTCGGGGATTCGAACTCGAGAATTTCGGGTTGGCAGACAAAAGCTCTACCATCTATCCCCGATTCGTTAGTACTTGATCGATAAATATGCTTTCCAAGCCAGTTGCTTTAAAGAAGGTTTGTTTTAAATAAATAGAATGCTGCCCACTTTTACTGAACTAAAAAAAACATGTTGCACATGTCAAGAGGAGACAGCTGTCAGTTGAATGCAATCTGTTTTCTTCCCCTCTTTTCTTCTGCCTGCCTGTGCATAATAGCGTTAATTTGTGCGCACGATCCACCTATTAATTCATCGTTATTATCATAAGTATTTAGGTTTTGGTGTCACCACTTTCCTGAGTTTGACTGACTTTACTGTTATTCAAAATACTCAACAAACCTCTTTTCTTCTCTTAATTCTGCAGTTGATAACCCCCCTCCCCCCCCCCCCCCCCCCCCCACTGTTGATAGGTTTAAAGTATACACAGTTAATAGTAAAGATAGTTATCTATATTCAGTGGATTAACTCTTATTAATCATTAATTGAACCTGGCAAGAGTATTTTTCTTCTATATATTTAGCAATTTTTTGTCTTGGTGTCACCCCCCCCCCCTCTCTAAATTGTGTCACCTGGTGCGGTCCGCATTCTCCGCCTCTGGTTTAGTTAACTAATATAATATAGTTTATTGTCTCTCCTTATGCAATCATAAAGTCTTTATTTTTTTTTATTACTTAGTTAAACTATAACTATTATTACACATTTGATTATCTTCTAAATCTAAGGGCATGCACCATAGATAGGGCGCTATTGAAATATATAGCATTGATGACGATAATAATATATAGGAACTAAAAATATTTTATTTGTGAATGTGAATTTGTTAGTGCGTAATTTAGCAATTCTATACTAAGTTTGGTTAGGCATTAGCATTCATCATTGGTAGATTTAGAAAATATTTTTTTTAAATTAAAAAACTAAGATATGATTGAGTTATATTATTGTATTTAATGTACAAAGTGCTCTTATATTCTACCCTAAGAGATTTGATGTTCGCCTAAAAGAAATTCTAAATGCGACTTTTGCCATGATTGAGATTAGGTGCAAGGTTTAGGGGTATGGCTACGACTATATTTAGTATCAATGTGCAGTTACTACGTGTAGATCAAGCTTAAATCTGGTCAAAATGTCCATTCTGGATTAAAATCCGTTTTCAATGTCATTTTTTTTCTCCGGTTAAATTCAAAGTTAAGGTGGTGATTTTGGTTTTGATTTTAGTTTAGAGAAAAGAGACAACACTATTAACCTAGCGTCCGTTGTATCCTTCCTCAACGGGCTATTTATCTCGTATATATATATATATATATATATATATATATATATATATATATATATATATATATATATATATATAATATTTATTTATTTATGTATATATATAGAGAGAGAGATAGAGAGAGAGAGAGAGAGAGAGAGAGAGAAAGAGGGAGGGAGGGTAAGTTAATATTTATGGCGACCAAAAAGTTTAAATAACAACATTGACATATATTAATTTGTTACCACTTTCTACGAAAAAAATCGGAACAATAAACAGCGACTCCTTGAATTTTAAATGTTACAACAATATATGTAAGAAAAGCAAATTTTAATTATTTTGTAACTTCTATTCAATATTCAAAAAGTGTTACAATCACGGAAATATTCAGATTTTTAATCTTTCTAAACATTTCTTTTATCTACATTGATCTAAGTTCCCCTTACACGTGTTGAATTCGTCAAGTTATGTAATATTAAACCTTCTTATAAAAAATTGTGGCGAAAAATTTAATGACATGTAAGAAAACTAAAATAGAATGGGTTGTTTTTTTTTTACTTTTTACTTATAATTTTTTAATCGGCATTAAACATTTAACACACTTTAACGGGGTGCAGACTTCACACCAAAAATAAAAACCATTGAAAATTGTAGTGTAAAGCATATATATTTTTTTTTATGTTAGGGCTCCGTTGGCTTGTCTTCTAATAGAAAATTGTGACGTATAAAACAGGAAATTAAAAGTTCAACTGTCGGTAAATAACAAAAATAACAATAACACTAACGCAAGATCAAATTTACAAGAAAACTAATAATAAAACATATTCAATTTTTTTTCATGATTGAATCCAATAATTTCATGTACAATAGGGCTGGTAAGTAGGTCACCAACCAGTTCTATGGCTCATGCAGGTTTTATTGAGCAGTAGAACTGGTTGGTGACCTACTTACCAGCCCTAATTGGTTCCAACTTCACATTACTGTGGCCAGGATTTTAATAATAGTTTTCATTGTAGACCAAAATAGTTTAAAGTTTGGATTCTCTGCAGACTTAAAAGGTATGTGTTGATTATATTTTTAAGGTGTTTTTTTTCTTTTGTATGAGTTTATTCTAGTCGGCTTGGAAGGCCGTGTTTGTGTGGCAGCCGGAGACGTCAGCTTGGGTGGTGATGACGTTAGCGGGTGACGTAGGGGACGCTGCAGGTCCGGCAACTCCCATCGGTCGGTGAATCTGAGAATTGATGTAGAGCATGTTAGCGTTATTCTATGCAGAGGCCAAGCTATGGGGAGAGTGGGTTGGGAGGCCGCCCCGGGCGCCAATCCTAAGGAGGCGCCAAACGGGGTAGAAACAAAATTAAAACGCTTATTCTGTGCTGCATCACTTAATTATAAAGAGTATAAATTTAGAAATATACTGCTACTTGGCTTAACAGACTTATGTATCTGTTTTCTAAATCGATTATGAGACACTAAATGAAAACTGTTATTGGAAAGGGATTAGTAAAATGCGCGAAAAACCTTTCCAATAGGATGGGGGTGCGTTTTTTTTGCCAACTTGAGTAACTAAATATAAGGAGGGGGCGCAAAATTGATAGTTCGCCCCGAGCCCCGGAATATATATATATATATATATATATATATATATATATATATATATATATATATATATATATATATATATATATATATATATATATATATATATATATATATATATATATATAGATATATATAGATATATATAGATATATATATATATATATATATATATATATATATATATAGCCGATTTATTTTTTCACCAGCCGAAATAATGCACATAAGCCATCCATTCCGTAACAGGATACGCAATTTCACAATAAGTTTTAATTACATTTTAATAGAATTCTAGCTACTTATCCAAATATATAAAAATCTATATTATGCGCACTTCTCTCTCTCTCTCCCTCTCTCTCTTTCTCTGTCCGCAATATTTTTGGGCAACGTCGTCAGCATGTTCAGCGAACTATTTCATTCAAATTTGATTTAGATCTACTAATTAAGACGTACGCCAATAATGAGTTTCTATACTAAACTATTTCAAGCCTTGATTATTTTTTATAAATCTTTGTTTGCTTATCTATGGAATTTGCTAATTTGGGATAAAGTATCATTTGAAATAATAGGGCCTATTCGCGTAACTTAAGTTTCCTAAATACACAATTTTTTCAGCTTCTATGCTAAGGTGCCTAAATAGCTGGGATGATAGTGTAATGGTTACCATGCGGATGGTACGGGTTCGAGACATACTAAGTCACCTTAAATAATTTTTTTTATTTTTTGTTCTTTAGATGTGAATAATAAAGTTGCCTATCGGGACTTGGCGGGACATGAGGCAGGTGAAGTAGAGTTCACTTGTTTCTGTCTCCTCAGCATATGAAGCGATAGTGTAGTCAGACCCATGCTCAGCCGAAATAGTTGTTTTTAAAAGACTAAAGCAATATAACTACCATTGAACAGCCGGGTTTTTTACAAAATCATTTAAGTCTCTTAATTTTAAGTCTCTTAATTAACGTGTGCATTTAATATGGTGTTGTGTTGACTAATAATGTATATAATTTTGTTTTTATTTTTCTGATAGCTATTTGTAGTCTATGTTATTTTTAAATGTGTTGAATTTTTAGCTATTTAGTTATTTCTTTGCTTTGTCACTAATATCGTTAAACATAGCGTTTTGACCAATAACTTTTTTTATAAAACATTTATCTCAAACAAGTATAACATAAAAATATATAAGCCTATAATTCACGTGTAACGGGTACCGACGGCTAGTAGTAAATAGACCTTTTGCCTGTGGTAATAGGCCGACTAGTTATAAGTTTAAATTAGCTTATCAACAAAATTAAATATGTGTTAATGTTGTTGTTTATTTTATTTTTTTTTTTGCATCCCAATTCACCTATTTAATAGGCCTATAATGTTTATTTTTACATTCCTATTTTACATTCTAGCGGTAGAGAGATATACTGCTAACTCACAAGTGTCGAGTTTGAATCCGGGTTCAAATCAGTAGAACGTCCCTGACTCCAGCATAGTGCTGACAATATCATCCCCTTGTATGCTGCGATAATTGAAACAGATGAACTCTACTTCATCTACCTCATTTGTCATAAACACAGACGGGAAAATAAGATGATGCGCCTGTCGAGAATTCAAACTTTTTGAAGAAAAAAAAGTTTTTAAAAAAATGGATCTATGAATTATTCAAAAGATAAATGAATTCATTGCTGCTATATCTGTGTATTACGCGGTGATCTGATCTATGACTGATACAGAAATATCTATTCGCATAGGGTGGGCTGGAGCACCAGAGTGTTCTGCTATTGCTGTGTATTATCCTCGTAGGGGTAAGGAACTAGTGAGGGCAGTAACGTCTTGAGCGAGCTACCTGACCGTTAACGTTGTTCATTATCCCTTGTGAGATGGCGTAGATCATCTGTTGCATCTGTTGTGGGTCTTGTCCTGCCATCATCTGGGGGGCGGGATACGTCGGTATCTGTTGGAAACAGAGAAACTGCGCATAAACTATTTAAAGATGATAGTAATAGCTTCTTCCCCTTCGTTCTTAACTGTAATATTGGAGATTTCCTTAACACAATTAAGTATTACATGTCAACATGATATGCGACATGTGGCTCGTTAACTTCGACCAGCCAGCTTTTATTTCGGGATTTGCTTTCATTGTTTCACTTTTGAACATCTTCACTCTCTAAACAACTCCCGTGGCACCACGTACGTAACAGACAACGGTGAACCAACCTGCGGACCGCCGTTCTGGGCAGCAGCCATGGCGCCAGCTAACGCCTGCATGATGTCCTTGACTAGAGCCGAGTTGTCCTGCTGAGCCTGGGCGCTACTCCTGGCTGCGATGTTCTTCATCTTCATGCCGGCTCTGGCGGCTGGCTCCGGCTCGTCAGCCACGTCACTGTCCAAGTTGCTGATCTGAGGTTATTTTTGTTTTTTGAGTGTTCATTAGTTTGTTAGTTTGAAAACAAAAATTATTAAATTATTAACTTTTATTCAACATTTATTTTACTTGGTAGTTTTTTTTATCATGTGCATTGATTGTTTATTTTTAAAAATTATGTAAATCAATTTTAAATAATTTGTTTTGTAATTTTAAAATAAAATAAAAATATTTCCGCCAAAAAATGTATAAGATATAACTGGCACTTTGCTTAATGAAGCATTAATAAAAGTTATTTCTAGTACAAAATACCCTTATTTATTATTTCAATGTTTTATTTAAATTGTTGTGTTTTTGTCGCCATAGATAGAAACGGGCGAGTGAAATAATTTCAAGCATTTCTAACTGACCAATTCGTTTCAAACTTTGCACTTGGGGGTCATGATCCGATGACAATACAATCTTGACTTAATGGACCAAAGCGAGAATAGTCTCAAAGGTATTGGAGGGGCTCATTAAATGTTTTTAAAATCATGCACGGTGTAATTAAAATTAATACAATTATAAAATCCTGACTGCTTCGTTTTTTCGGACTGTAAAAAAGAGTGTATGTATTTGACATTTTAGTGGGGGGGGGTTGTAATTAAACATAATTTACAAAAAGGGCAAAAGCAGTTTGGTTTTCACGTGGTAATGGCGACATAAACAATGACATCCTGCTATTCGATAGGCTAGCAGTAATTTTAGTATAAAAAATGTAAGCGAAAATAACAGAACTAGATCATGTTGTTTAAAATACCATAATGTTATTTAAAAACTTTATCTGCAAAGTTTTGTAAACAAATAACTATCGATCACGGAGTTCTTGTACAGGCAATCAATGTTTGTTTCACGGAAGTAAATCATCGTGTTCTAACTTAGGCTTGATGAAAATAAAAGAAATATAGCTTTAAAATAAATAAAAAATTTCGAGTTCCCTGGATTTTCAAGTTGTATAAAATTGATTCTAAAAAAAATATTAAGTTTCTGAATTATTTTTAGACTGAAGATTTTTATTTTTATAATTATTTTTACAGCCACCATGAAGTCAAAATAAAAATATTTTTAAACGAATTTTGTCCATGTCAACAATGAGATGGAATGACTCTCGTCAACTCGATGGCCTCCATCGGATGACTAATTAATGTGTATGAATTTATTAAAATTTGTAAATATTAGTAGGGTGACTTACTACTTTTCCTCATTATTATACGTGCATTTGGTGTCCAATAATTTTTATTCATGATACTATTTTGTATTAAAAATGTTGAAGTACTAAAACAAATTGCATATAAAACGTTATAATAAAAAGCTTTTATGTAATGGTGCAATAAAAAAGGAGAAAAAAAATATTTTTTTCAAATATATATAATAATACACTACTCTTTAAATAACTATACACAAACGTGTGGGTCTCTCTCTGGATATTATAAAAGTATCCAATAGATAATATAGTGACCATACTTTTCTTTATAGTTATTTACATAGCTGTGTAATATTATATATTTAAAGAAAAGCAAATATTTTATCCTTTTCAGTGCATTATTACATAAAAGCTTGTTATTAAAAAGTTTTATATGCATTTGTTTTCTGAAATATGCCCGTAAGATTAAAGCTAATGATAATATAGTATTGGACGTTAAATATTTTACATCGCGAATCCCATCCCTCTTTATCTTTTCCAACGAGGTAAGCCCTAAGAGGATTTAACAGTAAAAGTTTTTTTTTTTTTTATAATGGTGCTGATAGACTTTTAATCGCAATACAAATATCGTAAATTTTACAGGGGTTTTTCTTCACTATCTGAAAGAGTAACAAATTTCAATGTTTCTTTAAAATATATATTTAAAAAGCCAACATCATAATTATAAGAATTGTTTTAAAAAGAAGCAACTAACGGAACTGGTGGTGCTGACGTCATACTGACCTCGCTCATCTGGCTCTGGGTGCCGCCGACTGCCGCGCTGTTGACGCTGTCCATCCGGTTCATCTTCGACTTGGTTTCGATCGCCGCCGCCGACACAGTCTCTTTTTCTTTTTCCGAGAAACCGCAGCAGCAGAGTATCCATGGAAACCGTTTGTTTAGTGCCTACAAGAAATAACCCATGGAAACCGCTTAAGTAGTATCTACAATAATTGTAGTATCCATGAAAACCGTTTGTTTGGTGTCTACAACAAAGAATCTACGGAAACCGTTTCAGTTTTGTCAACAATAATGGTAGTATCCATGGGAACCGTGCCTACACAAACTAAGTATCCATGGGGAAAATTAATCAATGAATCCGATACTGAAATAGATTTGATTATATTTTCAGAAGAAAAAAAATCTATTTCCTTACAGAAGTAACATAACCAATTGGTAATTTTTAATAATCATTCTAGCTTGCTTTCGTAAACTAAATTGTGGTGAGATCAGCTTAAGTGTGATGTCATATATTTATTTTTTATTTATTTTTTTTGGGGGGGGGGGGGGTATTCTTTTTTTTTAAATATTGGGATGGGGGTGGAGAGGGGGAAATATCACCAAAAACAACCAATTGTCCTTAACCAAATAAATGAGGAAATATTATTGCTTATCTCTTTACTAATTAAATTGATTTTGACAAAAATAGTATAAATCGTCAAATAATATTTTTTAACAAATTCATATTTTTACTTCCTCGTATACGAAGTATAGAGGAAGTATTGTAATCGTGCAAAAAATCGAAATCGAGATTTTCAAAAATCTCGACGTATCTATTGGATAGCTTTACTAATATTTAGGAAGAGACCCACGCTTTTCTTTATAGTTATTTAAATAGTAGTGTATTATTTATTTTCTACTTTTTAGTGCACTATTACATAAAAGCTTGTTATTAAAACGTTTTCTATGAAAACAATTTTTAGTAGGCTACTTTACATGTTTTATTTACACTAGAGTTGCATGACTAAAAACCATTGCGCACCTATCGAACGTGATGACTCGTGTCTAATAGAGCGGATTAGTTTGATGAGACAGCCTACTAATTTGGACAAAAATTTAATAATTCATAAAAAAATTAATCAGGCAACCAACTCAGTCAAATTAAATCTCATGTTGCATTGTCTTCATGTCTTGACCTAGTGCCAACGTTGAAACAAATCTGTCGGTTAGAAGTGTCCGAAATTTCGCTCGGGCGTTTCGATCTAGACAGACAGACTGTAAAAAATCATGTCTATTGTAAAAAAAAAAATTTCATAATAAACGTTTTAATAACAAGCTTTTATGTACTAATACACTAAAAAGTAGAAAATAAATTTTAGACTACTATTTAAATAACTATAAAGAAAAGCGTGGGTCACTTTAGTATCTATTGGATACCTTTACTAATGTTTAGGAAGAGACCCACGCTATTCTTTATAGTTATTTAAATAGTAGTGTTAATTTATTTTCTACTTTTTAGTGTCTAATAGAGCGGATTAGTTCGATAGAAATGCCTACTAATTTGGTCCAAATTTTAATTAATTCATAAAAAATTAATTAGGCATCCAATTAAGTCAGATTTGATTTCAGATTGCATTGTCTTCATGTCTTGACCCACGTGCCCAGTGTGAACCGTATCGGTCAAGTAGCAGTGTCCGAATTTTCACTCCGGCGTTTCGATCTAGACAGACTGACGACTTACGACAGACTGACGACTGACGACTGGCGACAGAAGAAGTGAGTTAAATAAAAGCTTGTAATAAAAGCTTGTAATCATGTCTATTACCCGAGTTGTAGTGTTATATAAGAATATTCGAGAAAGGTTAGGGGAGTTCACTACCGGTTTATTTTTAAAAAGCCAGTGTAAAATATTTCTAATGCCAAAATATAACTAAACTTTGCTCAAACCTCCTTCTCTCATCACTGTTGACACACATCATCATGAAAGTCGACCCCCCCCCCCCCCACCACACACACACACCCCTCCTACCACCACCACCATCACTAAGCTGTCGAATTTTACATCTCTGAATTTGGGGATACACAATCTTATCTAGTTAAATTTGGGGTGAAAACGTACCTCCCTTAACTTGGGGTAACACAAAAGTAACTGTCTAAAGTTATGCTGACTCAAACTTACCTCCCTAACCTTTGGGTGATACGAACTTACCTTCCTAAACTTGGGGTGACACAAACTTACCTCCCTAATCATGTGGTGACACAAACTTACCTCTCTAAACTTAGGGTGACACAAACTTACCTCCCTAAACTTGGGGTGAGACAGGGAGTAGATCAGCGGGTTGTGCATGGCCGAGGCCTTGGCAAACACGATGGGCAGCTCACACACGTAGGGCGTGACCAGCTCGGTGGGTCCAAACTGGGCGATGAGGACGATGGTGGCGTAGGGCGTCCAGGAGAGCAAGAACGAAGTGATAATGGTCATGGCGATCCGAGCAGTTTTCAGCTCCGCTTTCTGGGCGCTCTGACCTTGGCGGATTTCTGCATTCAGTTTTTTTGCCATCTGACCCATTTCCTATTTAGATGTGTAAATCACGTGATATTATCAAGAAATTATGCTGCTTGTTAATGTTGGGTGGCATTTGCTGGACTTCCTCACCCCACTATGAAAACCCTCCCCCCAAAATTTGCAACCGCGTACCAACACTCCCCTTCAGGTACCTTTTCGTGTCTAGCCACGGCTCTGTAGATGTGGAAATACGAGTAAAAGATGGTCATGACGGGGCAGGCGAACCCGAAGATGTACAGGCACAGGATAAATGACCGGAAGTAGTCGTTCTTTGTCAGGTAGTCGAACGCGCAGGAGGTCTGGAAACCCTGTGGAAGTCATCGGGCAGGTTAGGTGGAGGAGGAGTGGTGAGGTGGTGTTGTGTGGTGAGGTGTAGTTTTAGGGTTAGGTGGTGTTGTGTTGTATGATGGTGTTATTAGGGTGAGGTGGTGTTGTGTGGTATAGTGGACTATGTTGTATGGTTCGATTTTTAGGGTGAGGTATTTTATATAGGCGACTCTGTACGAATGCAGTTGACCATTTGTGCTTACCTCGGGTATGTAAGCACCCCAGCCAAACAGAGGAGGGATGGTCCAGGTAGTTGACCAGTTGTACTTACCTCGGGTATGTAAGCACCCCAGCCAAATAGAGGAGGGATAGTCCAGGTAGTTGACCAGTTGTACTTACCTCGGGTATGTAAGCACCCCAGCCAAACAGAGGAGGGATTGTCCAGGTAGTTGACCAGCACCAGACGAAGAGCAGCATGAAGAACGCTCGCTTGTAGCTCAGGGAACGGGACGCTTTTATTGGCCGGGCGATGACGTTGTAACGGTCCACAGCAATGACGGCAAGGGTGTTGATAGACATGAGACCAAAGATACCACCGACTAGACCATACAACTCACAGGCTGGTGGAGAGAAACAGAGATGTGATGGATATAAGACCAAAGATACCACCGACTAGACCATACTACTCACAGGCTGGTGGAGAGAAACAGAGATGTGATGGATATAAGGCTAACGATAGCACCGACTAGACCATACAACGCACAGGCTGGGGTTCAGACTTTTATGGCAATGTACAACAAGGTGATGGGTGGGGGGATACAAGTAGCGTACTCAAATGGGGAGCAGGGGGAGTGGCCGCTCCTCGTAAATCCATTTTAATGATTATAAAACAGATTGTGATGTGTTTATTGTTTTTGTTTTAATTGTGTGTATATTTCCTGACGCTTTTTTTTTGTTTGTTTAGTATGATAAACTGTTTTGTGTTGTCAGGCTACATGGTGTTTTGTTCTTTTGTTTTCTACAGAGTAATGTTTGAATGTATTTTACACCGTAGGGCAGCAATGACATACAACTAATTATATATATATATATATATATATATATATATATATATATATATATATATATATATATATATATATATATATATATATATAACGCCTTTTTCTTGCTTTGCCGCTCCCCCTAGTTCAAAAACCAAAAAATTTTTAGTTTATTTTCTAATTTTCAGTATATTTTTTTAAACGTGTTATTATAGAGCTTTTTTGTTTTATTTTTCACTTTTTATTTATTCATAAGAAATCTGCACTCATCGGCTTTAACAGAAAATATTTGCGTAAACATCCGCCCAGTATCTCTAGTAAAAATCTACCTTCCCCTCATAAGCTTAGCGAAAAACTGTTTACGTTTTCGGTTAGCTGTTTAGCAATCGGTAGTATTTAATCTTACCTTTTATTATTGAATTTAGGAATCTTTTAACTATCGTTCAATGACTTATTATGTCTTATTATATTACAAACGAGATATTCTTGCATTGTCATCTAAAACAAATATGCCTGAAAAGTTTGAACAAAATAACTGCATAAAAAGTCGTCAAAATGGAGTCACAAGATTTGCCACAAACTCACAATCGTACATTGTGAGCTAAGTAGAACATTGTAATAAAACATTTTTTTTAAAAAACCTATAATATAAACAATCTTTAAAAATGTGCTGAAAAGGAGAAATAAAACTAATTTGCTTTCTTCAAATAAACGTGTTGGTCGCTTGAATATGTAAAAGACCTCATGAGCGACCAAAGTTTTTATTTAAAAAAGCAAATTGGTTTTATTTTCTTATTTCAGTGCATTTAAAAGCCTGTTTTATAAAAGTTCTTTTTTTAATGTTTGTTTTATGTTCATCTTTTTACAATCTTTTATTTAACTAACTTCCTCTGTCGTCAGTCTGTCGTCAGTCTGTCGTCAGTCTGTCTGTTTAGATCGAAACACCCGAGCGAAATTGCAGGCACTTCTAGCTGACAGATACTGTTTTTGTAGTTGGTATGTGGGTCAAGACATGAAGACAATACAAAATGACATTAAAAATTTGACTTAATTAGTTGCCTAAATAATTTTTTATGAAGTAGTTAAAATGTTGTCCAAATTAGTAGGATGTCTCATCCATTTATTCCGCGCTATTAGACACGCGTCATCACGTTCAATAGGTGCGCAATGGTTTTTAGTCATGCAACTCTAGTGTAAATAAAACATGTAAAGTACTAAAAAGATTTCATTAAAAATGTTTTAATAACAAGCTTTCATGTAATAATGCACTAAAAAGTAGAAAATAAATTATACACTGCTATTTAAATAACTATAAAGAAAAGCGTGGGTCTCTTCCTAAATATTAGTAAAGGTATCCAATCGATACTAAAGTGGCCCACGCTTTTCTTTATAGTTATTTAAATAGTAGTGTATAATTTATTTTCTACTTTTTAGAGCATTATTACATAAAAGCTTGTTATTAAAACGTATTTTATGAAAAAATATTATTAATTCAGAATTTATGAAGTTGACACTACTTTGGATACGATTAAAAATATTTGCTTTAAAATACGATCAGTTGCTTGCGATATCAGAAAAACGATTATCTATCCTGTTCTCGGATGTTAAAGCGCCCACACCCTCGTGATTAACAGTTCACGAACGACAGCTATTTTTTTTTTAAATAGATATTGCTGCATTGTCGTTGAAGGCGAATGCATCTGGAAAATTTGGACGAAATCGCTGCATTAAAAATTGGTCGAAAATGAGTTAAGAGGTTTGCCACAAACCCACAAACGAATGTTGTGAACCAAGTAATAGCTTGTAAAAATCCATAAACTCACCAAGAAAATATGAACTAGCTAAAATACATCGGCTGACTAACACAGCAAAATATTTGAACTCACCAATTGTTTGAACACCAATTGTTGAGTGAAATATATGAACTCACTAACAAAAGTGCACCAAATGACCACCAAAATATATGAATTCACTAACAAACGTGCACCAACTGACCAGCAAAATATATGAACTCACTAGCAAACGTGCATCAATTGACCAGCAAAATATATGAACTCACTAGCAAACGTGCACCAATAGACCAGCACAAAGACACGTTCTCACCAACTTTCCCGAAGATCCACCGTTTGCTGAAGCAGGAGATGGTCATGAGAGGAAAGCCTTGAATGACTGAGAAGATGAAGTCGCTCATGCTGAGGTTCACGACGAACATGTTCGATGGAGTTCGCAAAGATTTCGTGCTGTGAAAAACAGAGAAACTCACCATATAAGAATGTACATGTGTCTGGATGACAAAATGTTAATGTTTTGAATAGATAATTAAATAATGTTCCAAAAAGTATTTTTATAAATGTAGATTCAATTTGACCTTGGCTTATAGGTCTCCCGTTGTATGGACAACCGATTTTAGCTGATTATCCATTGATTTATCAGTGGCGTCACTGCTAGGGGTGCCACACCTTGCGGTAACCCAGGGTGTCATTTACTTCGCCAACGACTATATTGTACTAAATTTAAAAGCAGCAGTTTTTTGTTTTCCCATCCTAGATGGTGTCTTCGGGTGCCTAATGACGTATACAAATTTAATTTAAACAAATTGGAAAAGCAGATCTTATCATAAAAATTAGCTAGATTTAGTTGCGCTCCCCCCCCCCCCCCCCCCTTAAATGTCATCCGGTTTGTACGCATTTTTCTGTTTGGGCATTTTTTTTTCCGCTGGGCAGTTTCCCGTATGCGTATTTTTTTCTGGGAGCCGACTACGTTACATTTGACAAAACTCCTAGTTAATATTCACCTAAGTCTAAATCCTATTTTCCCCGATCGTGAGAGAACAAACTAAAATTTACCGTGTGGTCGTCGTTGATTTGTTCGCTTGTTGTATTAAAAAATATTTCTGATTTTAAAATTAACTTTTTTGGACGTAGAAAGAACGGATACTTTTTTTTTCTTTTACATTAACTTAAGTTTCGAAGATGTAGAAATAAACTGAACTTAACTCACGCCCCAAAGATGTAGAAGTAAACTTTGCTTAACTCAGGTCCAAAAGATGTAAAAATAAACTTAGCTTAACTCACCCCCCAAAGATGTAGAAATAACATTTTTAAAAACTTACGTTCCAAAGATGTACATGACCAAGACGTTGCCCAGCGAGCCGAAGATGCTGACGAAGGTGATGAAGATGCCCATGGAGTAATGCCAGGCTGGGGAAATTAGGCCGTACTGGTACCAGTGGGGGTGGATGAAGAGGTCGTACGTGTCGTATACATGTGTTGTCCCGTTGCTTTCGGACGACGGTGACGTCATCGGGTAGTCCGTGCGGGCGGTCATCTCTACTGCTGCTGACGTCATGTTGTAGGGGCAGAATGAGTTTCAGGGTCTGAAAGTAGAGGAAAAAAGTTGACTCATCAAGTCCAGAATGGGGCAACTAAATGGGCCAGTGAGACATTGAGCTAAGTCAACTTAACTATCACGCCCGCGTCAATATAAGATGTACAGAGATGTGCATGCATGATCCACGTTTGATGATTTTTGACGTACCATCCCGCGATATATTTCTTGGATCTTAATAGAGTTTGCCCACGCTACGCCCAGACGCCCAGCATGCATTATACTAGTCTTGAGTGTACGTTAGTCACCCTCCGTAATAGTGAGGTGTCAGGAGCTTTGCGGTGCGCTCTGAGGAGTCACTAGCTACACTACCACAGGGTTTGGTTTAATAATAAAATGTCGTCCCTATTGTATGGTGCTGTTTAAAACGAATGTATGCTAAAAGGAGAGCCCGGGTGCCATATCGCACACTTTTGGGGCGAATGTGACGCACATGATTTGAGTTAGTGAGCAATTATAGTACCTCATTATATTGTATGTATCGTAGTGTATTACATTCTTTAGCAAGAACGTAGGCGCCATAGTGCTCAACGGGAAACCTGAGGCGCCCAATCAAACCCTGCCGTGGCGACGGAGTACAGGCCTGATTCGATTTAGTGAACGATTATAGTAGCCCATCGTATCCATAATTTTTCGCACGTTTTATAACGAACGTAGGATTACTGGGAGCCCGAGGCGCCAAATCGCACACTATCGGGGTGCCGGAGGAACGGTCTGATATGATTCGGTGAACTAGTATAGTAGCTAATCGTATTCGTAGTATAATGCATTCTCTGAACCGAACGTTGGCGCCATAGTAGTCAAGGAGGAGTCCAGGGCGCCAAATCAAACCCACTTGGGGTGCCGGAGGACGGGCCTATTTTGATTTAGTGAACGATTATAGTAGCCCATCGTATCTATAGTGTATTGCACTTTTTTAAACAAATGTAGGCGCCACAGTGCTAACTGGAGAGTCCGGGTGCCAAATCTCATCTTTTTGTGCCTCCGGAGGACGGGTCTGCTTTGATTAAGTGAATAATTATAGTAGTCCATCGTATTAATAGTGTATTGCATTCTTTAAAACGAACATAGGCTCCATCGTGTTCACTGGTTAGCCCAGGGCTCCAAATCATGCCCTGTCGTGGCTCCGGGGACTGGCTTGATTCGATTTAGCGAACAATTATAGTAGTCCATTTTCTAAATGAGCTAAACCCGGACGTAACAACTGGTGGCCAGTATTAAACAAGTAGAGCTATCGCCATCACAGAACGTCGCCATCATAGGACGTATCGATAGTGTATCGCACTTTTTTAAACGAAAGTAGACGTCATAGTTCTCATGGGAAAGCCCGGGGTGCCTAATCGCACCCAGCCCTTCGAAATTTTGATTTAATTTTTAGCGCAATTTCCATTCTGGAGAATTGCGATTATTAACTCGTCATTTCTGGGAATGGATGGATGTCCGCAGCTTTAAGTCGTATCTCCTCCTCAACGAAGCAATATCGAGGACTAGTTCCAAAGCAAATATGTTAAGCAAGTTCCAAGGATAATTGTGGGCCAAAAAAAAAATCCAGGAATTCCTTCCTGGATTTCCCGGAAAAGCCAAAAAACCTCGAACAAATGCCGTTTTTGCTCCATTTCTCGGCAACCAGACCACTTAGCGACTTGAAACATTTACCAATCGATTCCTGCCATAATTTAGACCAATAATGCCGAAGAAAGTTTTCAAAAATATCCTTTCGTTCGGTCACAAACAATTAATTAAGAACATTTAAACTGAGCATCTTGTAGGCCTAGGATGATTTAAACTGAGCATCGTGTAGGAGTTTATATTTATAGGATGATATTTACAAAAAATTAAAAATTAAAAATTGTTATGGATAACATAAGGAAATTGCGCTTAAATTGTCATTAGACTTTTTTTTCTTTGAAGAAACCTTTCCATTGGGGTATTCTCAACAACTTCTCAAAGTTTCATTGCAATCGGTTGAAACGGATAGTAATTCATAAAAAGACAAACCTATAAAAAGATAGATATACTTTCATTTTAAATATTTTTAATATATTTTTTTTTAAAGTTCAGTTTCAATGGAAGTGGTAACGACGTCATTCATGCTTAGAGTAAAATGTACTGCAGTGTAAAGTTTCAACGCTGATCAACACGAGTGTATACTGTTTTCCTTTTAAATGTATAATCCAATATTTGAAGTATTTGAAGCAAACACAGACAATTTGAAACCAGTACATACAAAAAAAAATGTTATCTTTTATCGAGATTCTACATACATTTCAAATTTGGTATTGGTCTCTTTCTAAAACAGCTATGAAGATTTTGTTTACACTTCAGTCAAACCACGTGATTATGTCTTCAAGTCAGTACAGAAGCACCGAGCTATTGCACATTAGAAGGTTATTTTATTGGCTTATGATTTATTTCTTTTTGTTTTGATGAATGTGTGGTTGTCCTCATAATGCTTGACTGGATTCATCCAAATGAAAAACTAGCAATACTTTAATTAACCCTTTATCCACGAGTATCAGTTTACCAACACTACAATCGTTGGACGCACTTATGAGTTGTACACTGCTGGCCTAGTAAAGTTAAATCCTTGGCTGTTCTTTTGTTGACTGCACAATGACGTAATCCAAAAATTAAGCCATCATGGTTTCAATTAGTCCTGGGTCCACACGAAACAAATATTTTAAGATAGAAAAGATAGAATATTTGCAATACGAATATAAGTGATGTGTAAAAGTAGGGCAATTTTAGTAGTATAATAAATGCCTACAATAAGTCTAATTTCCCACAAAATGTTACCACTTAGAAAATGAAATCATTCACTCGTACATTGTCCTAATGCAGGAAAAAATTCGTAAGCAAAAACTAAATTAGGAAGAAAGTCCAATTACCGACAAAAAAGCGTTGGCTTAATGCCGTAACCAAAATGGCATGTACTGGACGCAGACCCTCACTCTCCTACCAGGCCCGTCAAAAGCCGCTCATCGCTGCACTTAGCTCTTTAAATAAACCAGCACCCCGGGGTATTATGGGAGGGTGGAGGCCATTCGTGACGTCTAAGTAAGGTGTGAAGTGAGTTGGGTCGCAAAGGCTGGGTGAGCTATTAAAGCATGAAGAAAGGGGGATTGATTATTGGCTTGTGGGAAAATGTTCCTTCAAAGGGCCAACAGTGAGTGCGCAAAAGTTAGGCTGGGTGCGCGATGCTATGAACCGAACTTGTGCTAGTTAATATGTAGCCTATCTCTAGGCTAAGTAATAAAGGCATGTGTTTGATAAATTAATACTAAAATGTGTAGTACTAATAAAAGATGAAAATTTATGCAATTTAAAAAAGACACGAACACCATCAAATTTATTTTTTTTAAAAACACAACATAAACTAAACTTTCAGTGTTATACTCGGACAACTAGTTATATGGTAGACTTACTATGGTAGTGTAAGGCAATCATTTGGTAACAATGTTATTATTATAAAGGTCATACAAAGCCAATAGTTTTACACATGCAAAATTAAATAAAGCTGACTTGGAAACTAAATTAACAAACCTTTTAAGGGCATGTATTACGATATCGTATGTCTAACCTTGCCTTGCTTCCATATGTTGTTTTGTTTAAATCCACAGACTTCAGCATTTTGGGATAGTTTAGTTTGTATTAGATTATCCAAAAGTGTAGCTTCATGTCTTTCACTTTAAAACTGTTTATAAGACCAAAACCTCGTTCGCAAACAGCGCTGGATGCAAATGTTAATTAACTTTGCCAGTAAGTTAAATTGTTCATCGTTTAATTAACTCTACTCCTCCTATTTCAAGGTGTGAATTTACATAACCAGATTAGAGTTTTTCGCTCATTTGAAATTTGGAGTCGTTGTATTGAGTGATAATAAACTTGATATTAGTTGTAGGTAAAATGTCCTTGTACTTTACAACAATACTTTGATTTTATTGATGCCAAAATCAAATGCATTTTTTAACTTGTTGATTAAAAGCTTATCAAATTGCAGTTCATCTTTTGGAAACATAACATTTAAATGATAACAGACTGATCGTATGAATTGTGTGATTTATCTTGTGTCAATTCCTTCGTTTTTCCTTTGAATTGTTTTTTTTTTTGCTTTATCATTTCAGTAAACATTATTACTCAGGTATTATGCTTCCAACTAGCATATTCTAGAAATGAAAAATTATGTGCAAAATTGATGTTAAATTACTTCGCTGCTATAACATTGATAGATTTGCTAATTAAATTAAAACACCGTTAATTGTATAAAGAGCTACTTGATACAGGGGATCTTGCGATGATTCCAAAACACAACTACTAAAAGTATCATTGCAGTCTTGGCCAATTCTTCAATTCAGATTTTTATAAACTTGAGATTGGCTAAATAATATGTAAGCTGCGTAAAAGAACCTCAATCTTTTAAACAAAATACCATCTTTCCAAGAATCAGAAAATATCAAGTCTTCTGAATGAGTAATACAGTGTTGTTCAACAAGATGGCGGACCTTAGCCTTCAGTAATCCCTTCCTGCGGCCTAACATAACCACAGTATTGTTCAACAAAATGGGGGTCTTGAGTAAAGCAGCTAATCTTTTCCTACGGCCTAACATAACCGATGCCCCGACCGATATTATTATTACCATTTGCTTAATCTCGAGTTGATTTTTTTAGTGTAGTACAGTTTTGTGTTTTTATGTGGGTAGCCATTCATGTCATGTCATGTTTGCCTGTCGTCCCTACTGGGACATAGGCCGCTGACAAGAGCTTTCCAGACGTCTCTGTCCAGGGCTAGTCTCTCCAACTGTCCCCAGGTGTATCCAATCTTCTTGGTGTCTTCTTCCAGGTCACGTCTCCAGGTCTTTCTTGGTCTGCCTCTCTTCCTCCTGCCTTGTGGATTCCAGGTGAGGGCCTGTCTTGTTATGCTGGATACAGGCTTCCTGAGTGTGTGGCCAATCCATTTCCAT